GCCCGGGTGTCTGTGTGGTGTGTCTAAGTGGTGTGTCTGTGTGGTGTGTCTGCTGCGTGGTGTGTCTGTGTGGTGTGTCTGTGTGGTGTGTCTGCGTGGTGTGTCTGCTGCGTGGTGTGTCTGTGTGGTGTGTCTGTGTGGTGTGTCTGTGTGGTGTGTCTGCTGCGTGGTGTGTCTGTGTGGTGTGTCTGTGTGGTGTGTCTGTGTGGTGTGTCTGCGTGGTGTGTCTGCTGCGTGGTGTGTCTGTGTGGTGTGTCTGTGTGGAGTGTCTGTGTGGTGTGTCTGTGTGGTGTGTCTGTGTGGAGTGTCTGTGTGGAGTGTCTGTGTGGAGTGTCTGCGTGGTGTGTCTGTATGGTGTGTCTGTGTGGTGTGTCTGTGTGGAGTGTCTGTGTGGTGTGTCTGTATGGTGTGTCTGTGTGGTGTGTCTGTGTGGTGTGTCTGTGTGGTGTGTCTGCGTGGTGTGTCTGCTGCGTGGTGTGTCTGTGTGGTGTGTCTGTGTGGAGTGTCTGTGTGGTGTGTCTGTGTGGTGTGTCTGTGTGGAGTGTCTGTGTGGAGTGTCTGTGTGGAGTGTCTGCGTGGTGTGTCTGTATGGTGTGTCTGCATGGTGCGTCTTTAAGACAACGGCCTCGGCCATCGGTAGTTTCATTCACCGCGTGTCTGTCCATCTGCCTGTCCCCCCAGCCGTGTCTTACAAAAGGCAACCGTCATTCTACGAATGATCGATCGGGTGACTCGGCTCGACTTGCCTGCGACTGACTGACTCGCTGACTGACTCGCTGACTGACTCACTGACTGACTCACTGACTGACTCGCTGGCTGGCCGGCCGGCTGACGTTCTGTCTTTGTCAACCGGACATCTGGCTGGACAGCCTTGCTCTAAAGTGTCACTTGGCTGACTTGTGTGTCTGGCCGACTTGTGTGTCTGACTGACGGCCTGACGAAGCTAGCTTGCCAACTGACTGACTTGCTGACTGACTGACTTGCTGACTGACTGACTTGCTGACTGACTGGCTGGCTGACTGACTGGCTGACTGACTGACTGTGGTTCTGACTGACTGACTGACTTGCTGACTGACTGGCTGGCTGACTGACTGACTGACTGGCTGACTGACTGGCTGGCTGACTGACTGGCTGACTGACTGACTGACTTGCTGACTGACTGACTTGCTGACTGACTGGCTGGCTGACTGACTGGCTGTCTGACTGGCTGTCTGACTGACTGGCTGGCTGACTGACTGGCTGACTGACTGACTGACTTGCTGACTGACTGACTTGCTGACTGACTGTGGTTCTGGCTGACTGACTGACTGACTTGCTGACTGACTGACTGTCTGACTGACTGGCTGACTGACTGACTGGCTGTCTGACTGGCTGTCTGACTGACTGGCTGACTGACTGGCTGACTGGCTGACTGACTGACTTGCTGACTGACTGACTGTCTGACTGACTGACTGACTTGCTGACTGACTGTCTGACTGACTGGCTGACTGACTGACTGGCTGACTGACTGACTGACTGGCTGGCTGACTGACTGGCTGACTGACTGACTTGCTGACTGACTGACTGTGGTTCTGACTGACTGACTGACTGGCTGACTGACTGGCTGACTGACTGGCTGGCTGACTGGCTGACTGACTGACAGCGGTGACTTGTGGCTGGCCGTGGCGACGTTGGCCTCAACGAGGCGCCTCCTCCACGACTCGTGAGCTCCTCGAGTCCCACGACCCCACAGCCCCTGGGCCGCAGCAGCAGCAGCAGCAGCCGCAGCAGCAGCAGCCGCAGCAGCAGCCGCAGCAGCAGCAGCAGCAGCAGCAGCAGCAGCCGCAGCAGCAGCAGCAGCCGCAGCAGCAGCAACAGCAGCAGCAGCAGCCGCAGCAGCAGCAACAGCAGCAGCAGCAGCCGCAGCAGCAGCCGCAGCAGCAGCAGCCGCAGCAGCAGCAACAGCAGCAGCAGCAGCCGCAGCAGCAGCCGCAGCAGCAGCAGCAGCCGCAGCAGCAGCCGCAGCAGCAGCAGCAGCAGCAACAGCAGCAGCAGCAGCCGCAGCAGCAGCAACAGCAGCAGCAGCAGCCGCAGCAGCAGCAGCAGCCGCAGCAGCAGCCGCAGCAGCAAGCAGCAGCAGCCGCAGCAGCAGCAGCCGCAGCAGCAGCAACAGCAGCAGCAGCAGCAGCAGCCGCAGCAGCAGCAACAGCAGCAGCCGCAGCAGCAGCAGCAGCCGCAGCAGCAGCAGCAGCCGCAGCAGCAGCAACAGCAGCAGCAGCAGCCGCAGCAGCAGCCGCAGCAGCAGCAGCAGCCGCAGCAGCAGCCGCAGCAGCAGCAACAGCCGCAGCAGCAGCAGCAGCAGCCGCAGCAGCAGCAGCAGCAGCCGCAGCAGCAGCAGCAGCCGCAGCAGCAGCCGCAGCAGCAGCAGCAGCAGCCGCAGCAGCAGCAGCAGCAGCCGCAGCAGCAGCAACAGCAGCAGCAGCCGCAGCAGCAGCAGCCGCAGCAGCAGCAGCACATGGGGTGAGTTCGACTAGCAACATCTCACCGGTAACATTCAGCCAATCGTGCTTCTGTTATGGGGGGGTCGATAAAGTAGAACAAAATTAGTACCGCTTTGTATGTACGTACGTTGAACTTCTTTCGCGCCGTATGTGTCCAACCGCGCTAAATCGGAGGTGCGGGAGGGAAGGACGAGAAACTATGGGTCTCTGTGTGAGTCTAAGGGTCTCTGTGTGAGTCTATGGGTCTCTGTGTGAGTCTATGGGTCTCTGTGTGAGTCTGTGGGTCTCTGTGTGAGTCTGGGTCTCTGTATGAGTCTATGGGTCTCTGTGCGAGTCTATGGGTCTCTGTGAGTCTATGGGTCTCTGTGTGAGTCTATGGGTCTCTGTGTGAGTCTATGGGTCTCTGTGTGAGTCTATGGGTCTCTGTGAGTCTATGGGTCTCTGTGTGTCTATGGGTCTCTGTGTGAGTCTATGGGTCTCTGTGTGAGTCTATGGGTCTCTGTGTGAGTCTATGGGTCTCTGTGTGAGTCTATGGGTCTCTGTGAGTCTATGGGTCTCTGTGTGTCTATGGGTCTCTGTGTGAGTCTATGGGTCTCTGTGTGAGTCTATGGGTCTCTGTGAGTCTATGGGTCTCTGTGTGAGTCTATGGGTCTCTGTGTGAGTCTATGGGTCTCTGTGAGTCTATGGGTCTCTGTGTGAGTCTATGGGTCTCTGTGAGTCTATGGGTCTCTGTGTGAGTCTATAGGTCTCTGTGTGAGTCTATGGGTCTCTGTGAGTCTATGGGTCTCTGTGTGAGTCTATGGGTCTCTGTGAGTCTATGGGTCTCTGTGTGAGTCTATGGGTCTCTGCGTGAGTCTCTGGGTCTCTGTGTGAGTCTATGGGTCTCTGCGTGAGTCTCTGGGTCTCTGTGTGAGTCTACGGGTCTCTGTGCGAGTCTATGAAGGTGGCGGAAATTCCACGTTCCCATGACGGGAGAGAGGTGAGTGGTTGGAGGGTGAATATCTCGACTATCTGGAGCACTGCCTCTGTCGCCTCCCCACATTCGGAAGCGCTCATTGGCACTCATTCCATCCAGCGCGGAGATGATGATGATGATGAGCCGGACTCGATAGAGCACCCTTTCCCGATCGCCAGTTCAGAATCAGGAATAATGTTACTGGTAGGAACCTCCTGGTTACACCAGCCCACAGGGGATTATCGTGTCCGTCCGTCGTGCATCCAAAAATGGGAGTGGTGGGGCTGGGTGGGGAGGGGAGGGTGGGGAGGGGAGGGTGGGGAGGGGCTGGGTGGGTGGGGAGGGTGGGGCTGGGTGGCAGGTAGGAGGGGTGGGGCTGGGTGGGGAGGGGGAGGGTGGGGAGGGGCTGGGTGGGGAGGGAGGGCTGGGTGGGGAGGGGAAGGTGGGGAGGGGCTGGGTGGGGAGGGTGGGGAGGGACTGGTCACCCCGTGGTGCCCTTATAAAACTCAACGTTTAACCTACTCACACCGGCTTGTGCCCGCCCTCACAGTCGGCCATATTTGCGGAATACACCACGCCGCCGTTGACCCTGGCCATTGACCGAGCAACCCAACGTTCCTACCAGCTCCCTCCGCAGGACAATGTGTTGTATGTCGGCCCCCATGATTATCGCTGCTCGACGCGAGCTGTCGACGTTCCGCCGCGTGGCATTGTCTTGGTACTGCTCGTCACGTGGCGTCGTTCTCTGGTCTGACAATGCTGGTTTAGACGAAGCCCAAAAGAAGGCTGCTGCTGCTGCTGCTGTGTTGTCTCTGGTGTAGGCCAATCAGTTTCGCAGACAATGCATGTCACACTATAATTACCTTATTAACACATTCCTGCGGAGGGAGCTGGTAGGAACGTTGGGTTGCTCGGTCAATGGCCAGGGTCAACGGCGGCGTGGTGTATTCCGCAAATATGGCCGACTGTGAGGGCGGGCACAAGCCGGCGTGAGTAGGTTAAACGTTGAGTTTAATAAGGGCACCACGGGGTGACCAGTCCCTCCCCACCTAGCCCCACCCCTCCCAGCCCCACCCAGCCCCACCATCCCCACCCAGCCCCTCCCCATCCAGCCCCTCCCCACCCTCCCCTCCCCACCCAGCCCCTCCCCACCATCCCCTCCCCACCCTCCCCACCCAGCCCCACCCTCCCCACCCAGCCCCTCCCCACCCTCCCCTCCCCACCCAGCCCCACCCTCCTCACCCAGCCCCTCCCTGCACGACGGACGGACGTACACAGTAATCCCCTGTGGGCTGGTGTAACCAGGAGGCCCCTACCAGTATTATAAATACTGCCTACGTGAGTAATACTACATTGTTGTTATTGCTATGAAACTGGTCTCGTGACACTGCTGGAGAGACTTGGCCATAGAAGAGGGCTGTCAATGGTGTCTCTCAACCAGTCTCACAGACAACGCATGTCACACTACGACAACATTATTACATAAAAACAACGTCACCACGACCCATCTGATCGTGTCTCAGCAGGCCGGCGCGACCCATCTGATCGTGTCTCAGCAGGCCGGCGCGACCCATCTGTGCGGACCTCGGTTGGCGATGAAGATGACGACGACGACGGGGACGAGGGCAGCGCAGAGAATGGAGCGACGGGCGGCAGGGCAGGCTAGCAGTGGAGAAGGTATGTGCCTGCAGCGGAGATGGTGTTGATCAGCCAGCAGCGGAGATGGTGTTGATCAGCCAGCAGTGGAGATGGTGTTGATCAGCCAGCAGTGGAGATGGTGTTGATCAGCCAGCAGTGGAGATGGTGTTGATCAGCCAGCAGCGGAGATGGTGTTGATCAGCCAGCAGTGGAGATGGTGTTGATCAGCCAGCAGCGGAGATGGTGTTGATCAGCCAGCAGTGGTCGTGTCGCGGTTGGAGTGCCAAAGCCGCGCTGT